ACAAAAAAAAGAGTAATTGCATGCAATAAATTATAAATAAATCAAGATTAAAAACTTTTCTTTTCAAGAGAGCATTCTCAGATTTTGGGCTTTTTAATTAGGGTTTTTATGCAAAGGGACTGTAAAAAGCATTGAGACTTCCACCTGATGTAAAATGTGTTTCTAAGAGCCTATTTATTATTATCATTATAATTACACAATTATTTTACAATTGACAATTTACTCAAGATCAATATTATATTTACGATTTTTAAACTCGCTGTGACTTTCCAGGAGCGAAGCCATGTGCAGATTAGGGCTTAAAAACATAGGGCTTGAAACACTCGAACACACATTGTAATTCCGCAGAAACCAGGTCACAGTAAAATCAATCATTAGCGTTTATTGGAAGGAGTGCTGAATCAATAATATAGGAATCAGGATAACAAATTAAAATAGAGATGTTCTTGTGATGTGAAGTCGTTGTGGTTGTGAATGTGTGGTTTGAACTAAAAGCAAAATGATACAAAAGGCTTATGTAAGCTAATACTAGCTAAAGATACCAAACATAAATCAAGGATACTGATGGAACATAAATTTTAAACTATAACGACACGATACGACTAAAGATGTGCAGACTTACTTTGATCTTGCTCCTGCGAGGGTAGCAATTGTAGAAACGATAACTTAGCACGATAGCGATGACAGCAATAGCATAAAATAATAGCGAGAACATAGATGGTGTAACTAAACTGATAAAAATGTGGTGTGTCTAATTACATGATTCCAAAGGTTATGTTATGAAACTTGCATTGATCACAGCAATCACAGCATGAATAGCAAAAACTTAAAAAATGTACATAATTGTTAATAAGTAATAGTTATGTAAACAAAACAAAGAAGAAAATGAGTTATGAAAGTAACACTTGCAATACATATACCATTTACAATTTATTCAAGATTTGAAAACATACAGAATTTTTTTAAATTCTTGTATATTCCATTTGCCATACAATATTGTTTAAGACATTGGTATTAGCTCTTTCTTATCATGTCTGGTTTGCGCAAAATTCATGTTTTACCGATTTTTGATTTTTTTGTTCATTGTTTCCATGGAAATATTGATTACCTTAAGAAATACATAATACGAAACTTCAATCCATTTCCAATAACTAGTGTGACTTTGTATTGATCCAATTAAGGGAAAACTAATAAAAAGCTGATTGAAAATGTCTGGTATAGTCCAGAAAAAACTGTATTGAGACACCTTAATGGAATCATTGTCATAAATTGCAATTAATTTAGAAGAACACAGCCTTCTATAAACTACCAAGAAATTTGGTGTGCTGTGGAATGCAAAAGAGACACTTTTTCTTTGTTAACACCAGAAATGGAGCTCACCGAATGAAATATTTTAGAGGAGACTGCTACCATACATGACCCTCTTGATTTCCCAACACTATCTGTCATGACAGACAAACTCCTGATACAGAGAGCCTGGATTGAGAAAGCAGCCTGGGACACTCCACTTCCAAATAACCACCAAGAAAAATAAATATAGAAGTCAAGGCGCCAAGAATCCACAGGTCTAGATCGAATCTTACCCCCATGATGTTTGAAAGACAGCCATTCCCCCAGGGTTGTAGCTAAGAAATTTGTCTGCAGGTTGTCTTTGAAATTGAGCTGGCTAAAGAAGGCGCAAAGCGGGGGGGTCGCCCCCTCCCATTCGGGGGGTATGGGGGTCTCCCCCAGGAAATTTTGAAAATTTTAATTCAATTTGGGGCACTCTGGTGAAATCTAGGGGCTCTTTTATGCAAAAAGAAACAACCGTTAAAGAGAAAAAATTGTACATGCGTAGGCATTTTGTTATCTACCATCCCCTGATATTGGTATTATATATCATATTATTTTATTTCTAAATATGAATCTTATTATCTGTGTTATATTATAAGTGGGAGCAAGTAGTAATGGTGTTATGTTTCAGCTTATAATAAGTTACATGCACAAGAAATAAAATAAAATAAATAGTACCTCCTTAATTTTGTTAAGCTAACTTTTACTCTTCCACAAAAAGTAAAGTGTAACTTTATTATTCTAGCAATAATACTCTTAATAAGAACGAGTTCAGAGCAACTGCGGAACTATTTAACACTGTACTTAAAAATATTAATTTCTGGCATGTCTGACTTAACTGTAACTACCTTATTGTCTTCGAGCAAAAAATGCTCTAACATTCCCCTGGTCGGTATCGCGTTTTCTTTTACGTTGATTTAAGCTTACATCTGCTGATTCCATGGATGGATAGATCGTAAATTAACAACTTTCGCACAACTGTCGGATGACTTTACAATATTCACTCGTGGATCAAACAAACTATCTTGTCCCACATTTATGAGAGATCCAGGAGACCTGGTAACAAACTCGTTCCCAATCTTTCACAACGCCTTGAATGCGGGGGGCTACCAAGCTTTGTGTTGACAAGATGGCGGACGCAGAAAACGGAAAGAGGACACGGTAAACAAGTTCTCAAAACAAGACTTTATTTCAATTACTTTGTGGCATCGGTATGAAAGGTAGTCAGGAGTTTATTCAACCTTTTCACTCAGAATATATGATTCTAAATCAAACAAGTGCATAACCAAAGAATTGTTCAATGCCCTTTTAACCACGTGTTCGCCAGCCAAAATTCAGCCGGCAATGACCTCTTTCCCAGCTGGCGAATTTCGCCAGCAGCCGGTGCTTAGTGACAACTCTGTTCCCCACCAGTTAAAACTTCCCTACAAATGTGTTCGGATGTCTCTGATCATGAGGTACAAGTACACAGATTGGTCCATCATGACAGAGTACCTCAGTGTTGGAAGTGTTTAATGTCACAAGTGACTTTCTGGGTAGACAACATGAAAGTTATCTTCTGGGTACAAGAGTCGTAACTACAAGCCTGTTGTTTACCATCACTTGGGAGAAATCCATAAACAGTCAAACCCAAACCAATAGAAAGTAACTGACTTGAGGGAAAATCCTCTCAACCAGCAGAGGCTTTGACAGAGGTGCAGAAGTGAAAGCCAAACAAAAGCAAGCCCTAGAGGAACAAATTGCAGAAACAAATGAAGAGAGTGAAACTTAAATTGCGGGATTTTCAGAGACAAATTCAAAGAAAAAACGACCGATATTGCAGCAAATTTGCAGAGGTTTCGAGGCAAATTTCACTGAAAAGCAATCAGTAAAAGACAGCTGATTTTGTGGGAATTTTCTGAGCAAATTTTGCTGAAAAGTGATTGGTTTTGTAATGATTTGACAAACATTTTTAACTAAAAAAGACAACAATTTTGCCATTTTTTTAAGAAAATGATGAGTGTTAGTCTATGCAATAACAACAGCAACAGAAACTTTGACTGCTTAAAAGAAGCAGTGATAAGCAAGTTGTTTGGACTATCGTACATGCTTGCATTTGTTTGACCACAAGGTTCTTTTTAACAGAGATCATCATTTGCTCTTTTAACAACAATGCACTCAAGAAATGTGCCAATGGCAAAGCTTTTTACATCATGGCCACAGTTAGTACTCAGTTTTTTTACAACATTAATCTAGGAACACCTGGTATATTTGGATGTTGTTTACTCATTTCATGATAAATTTGCAATTTTACAACAAGTAAACAGCCCAAGAGCGAAGATAAGTTTTAAATATGTTGTACTGACATGTATTTGGTACTGACAATTTCTAGTAAACTTCACGGTATTTTGCATGTTTCTATGAATTTTGTGGGATTTCTTGGATTTACTTGAAATTTGCGGCTCCACGACTGAGCGAAGTATCAGAAGCCCTGAGGATTGCTCAACCTTTGTTATTGTAGAAGAGTAAAATAGGCATTTAAACCTTACAAGGTTCTCCAAGTGGTACCAAGTTGCTTCTAAAACAAGAGTTGAAGTTTGGCCAATCACTAATTCAAGTGAGGAGTTGGGTTCAACAGTTTATCAAGAGCTGTTAAGTTGTTAGACCAACATACGCTGTATCAAGGCAGAACTGACAGCTTGGTGAATTGGCGGAAAGTGAATTAAACATCATCAAAGAAACACAATGAGAATATGAAGAATAAATAATTGCATTAACTGCAAGAAAAGAGTTGTGCAAGAGAAGTCATCTGTTGCCTCTCATTAAACATCTCACATATCTTTAGTAATAAATTGATCCATAAATTCATGACTCATGTTTTTTTTAAACCCTTTGCTTCCCTCATAAATGAGCATTTTTGAGAAAAAATGTTATTTTGCACAAAAAAGGGGCATGAACAAAGAACAATAATCAATCAATATAATCAAAAACTTAATTAATGTGTCGAAATTTCGCTTGCCGAGGGGAACCTCCCATCTACTTATTGTGAACCATTTATATAATAAGAAGTGTAATAACAATTTAAAACTAGTAAATGACTGAAAGCCTACCAACTATTACCTATGAGATTAACTATCAATAACATAGCTAAAAAAATAAATAATAAAAATTATGTAACAAAACCAAAACACTAAAAAACCCTAACTAGAAAAAAGGAACCACCTTTCCTTTAAAATTTCCAAAACTTATCATAGTTTCTGTTTACAATGGATTTGAAATTCATAAAGGAATAGGAGGGTTTCACAGAACTACAGCTTCCACGTGCAAAGTCAAAATGCAAATTAGCTGAGTCCCTTTGGGTTTAATTTAAAACAAGAATTTTCGCACACTTTATCCTTTTATCATCTTTCGCACCTTAGGTACAATGTATTGTTCAGACAGGATTTCTTAGAGGTCGGAATTTCGTTTTGGTATTTAGCTATGAGCTGTAACCTCAAAGACAGGTCCGTCTCTCGAAACAACTCGAGCTCAGAATTTGAATTCCCCGCTGTATAAATTATAAAAGCGCAACACGAACACTTGAGGTAAATAATACAACCAAACAAAATTCCAACTTGGACATAAACAAGTGCAAAACAATAGAACAGAAACGAATTTTCGTAAACCACAGTTTTTGTGCTTCAGCTTACCTTTGGCAGGAGTATTCACAGGTATTCATTGCCTAGTCGTTGTCTTCACTTCAGTATTCTGCAGCCGCCACAGCCATTTTCTTTGCACCAAAATCCAGCCAAATGAGGAAAGTTGTGTTTCAAAAGCCACCTGATGTCATAGTAGGCGCATTCATTGGTCATTTGACACCGAAATAAGCTCTAAATCCTCTCAAAACTGAGATATCCCACCATGTTGGATCCTCTTTCGTTCCCAGTTTCTTCCAGATTCGAGCACTCTGCGTTCGAGCACATCACGAAAATTTGTGGCGGGAAAGACAGTTTCACGCGGGAACGAGACCTCACGCGGGATCACGCAGCATATTATATAGACAGCACATTGCGTCCCCATACATGGCGTGCCTTCGTTTTTTCTCGAGGACGCTGACATAATCTGATCGTGGTCGTCGAAAGCCCAACAAAAACAAAATGGCGGCGACTATGGGAACTCACGATGCTTCGTACATTGGCCTTTTAGGTTTAGCAGAAACTTTCAGAACATCGAACCCACCCAAAATCAGGCAATGTATACAGTGTCTCCAGTCTGTGTTTCAATTTCAACCATCGCCCGCCATCCAAGCTCGAACGCATCTACAGCTCGGGAAACTTCTTCATTCGCATACGCAAAATACGGACATGGGGCGTTCACATTTAGAAAAGGCGGTGAGTTTAGTGGTTTGAATAATGTTTGGCCATTAAGTTTCTTGTATTTTGTATCTATGATGTCAATTGTGTTTAATCAACTTTTTTTTTTTTTCAGGTTGTCCAAGCACAATCTGTATCCTTTTATAAATATTGTCGTACGTGAACCAATTAACTGAAATGTAAACTATATACGAGCTAATTAGTATTAGTATACCCATCTAGTGGACTAATGCAAATCCTGCATTTTAATTGGCTATGCTACTAGAGGACTATTAGTAATAGTCCCTAAGTAGCGAAATTGGCGCAATCAAGCATGACGCTTTCTTTCATTTTATTCCCAAATAAATATTTCTTCAACTTACATTTGCTGACTTCATGATTGCCTTTTCTGTCCGACTAGTTGGGTGATACTAAAACAATTAGACCTGCAGCCCTCAAGGGCCATTGGTCAATAGCCCATTCGGTTTCACCTCATAGGCTATTGATGGGTAGCCCTTGCGGGCTGTGGGTCTACATGTAATTGCTAAATAGGCAATTGGACCTTGTGTCGTACCATTCAGGGAGTAAGCGCACAAGTAATTTCAAAATCAAACGAGCACAAAGCGCAAGGCCAATTTTGAATTACGAGCAAGATTACTCCCTGAATAGTACTCCACTTGGTCCAGTTACTATTACTAATCGTTTCTATAACGAATTTCGGAATTGAAAATGTCTTTTGAGTACTTCTTTTGAGTGAAAACGTCTAACGCTTTTTAAAAGTTTTGAAAACTGTACATGTAGGAAGCAGTGCGAAGGAAGCCAGTAAAGCGCATGTAATTGGTGTGCAAATCACGTGGGTATCCAATTACAGGTGTCCAATTATGAAAAGTTCAAATTGGATACCTGTAATTGGACACCCACGTGAGCGCATGCCGATTATGTGACAAAGAGACGCGCAGAGAACCAATCACGATCGAGAATTTTGTTATAGATACAATTAGTATATATAATGGGACTACATGCTGTCCAATTTGGAAATAATTGGATGAAAAAAAGTCCAATTTGGCTGTCAGAGGAATTTTTTGAATCCAATTATTTCCAAATTGGACAAGCATGTAGTCCTGTTACTTATTAAATATATAGCTCGTGAGGTAATACAGCTTTGCAAGGAAAACTACGGTAACTTTCTCTGAAGAAAAACAGACTGGACCTTTGATCTTCCGAAACTTGGGAAAGCTTCGAAAATTTCCGATGAACTTCAAAGATCGCAGATTGTCACAAGTCTTCGGAAATCCTGGGAAGTGTTTGGGTGATCTTCGGAAATCTTTGGAAGTGTTTGGGCAATCTTCGGAAATACTCAAGTGATCTTTGGAAATCTTTGGAGATGTGTGCGTGATATTCGGAAATCTTCTGAAGTATTCAGGTGATCTTTGGAAGTCTTTGGAATTGTTCAGGTGATCTTCGGAAATCTTCGAAAGTGTTTGGGGAATCTTTGGAAAGCTTCGGGAGTGTTCTGGTGATCTTTGGAAATCTTTGGAAGGTTTTGTGTGGCCTTCGATAATCTTCAGAAGGTTTAATAGCTTAATTTCATTGGCTGAGTCAAACTGTCCTATTTTTTCCCAAATTGGACAGTTTCTGCATTTTTACTCAAAGACCTTATTGAAAACTGTCCAAATTAAACCCCAAATGGGACAGTTTTTAGAAATTAAAGGATAATAGCTGTGCTGACAATACTGGATTAACTGACTGCTATATAATTAGGGTTGTAATAGACCTTATCACGGTTTTCGACGCTATCTTGACAGGTAGACAAAGCAGTCAGAAATTAGGTCCATTCCTGCTGGTGCCGATCATAGACTAGTATACCTCTTAATAAGCTTAACTCTTATCTAGCTTGGAACTGGATTTGAAGACATTCATTTGGAAGCCATGTGCATTTTAACAGACATTTACAAAGAACAGGTATTATAATTTATGGTTTTGTAGATTCTAAGTGCCGTAGGACTTTTGCCATAGCAAGTCAGCCCAGCAGTGGGAATTGTNACAACTCTGTTCCCCACCAGTTAAAACTTCCCTACAAATGTGTTCGGATGTCTCTGATCATGAGGTACAAGTACACAGATTGGTCCATCATGACAGAGTACCTCAGTGTTGGAAGTGTTTAATGTCACAAGTGACTTTCTGGGTAGACAACATGAAAGTTATCTTCTGGGTACAAGAGTCGTAACTACAAGCCTGTTGTTTACCATCACTTGGGAGAAATCCATAAACAGTCAAACCCAAACCAATAGAAAGTAACTGACTTGAGGGAAAATCCTCTCAACCAGCAGAGGCTTTGACAGAGGTGCAGAAGTGAAAGCCAAACAAAAGCAAGCCCTAGAGGAACAAATTGCAGAAACAAATGAAGAGAGTGAAACTTAAATTGCGGGATTTTCAGAGACAAATTCAAAGAAAAAACGACCGATATTGCAGCAAATTTGCAGAGGTTTCGAGGCAAATTTCACTGAAAAGCAATCAGTAAAAGACAGCTGATTTTGTGGGAATTTTCTGAGCAAATTTTGCTGAAAAGTGATTGGTTTTGTAATGATTTGACAAACATTTTTAACTAAAAAAGACAACAATTTTGCCATTTTTTTAAGAAAATGATGAGTGTTAGTCTATGCAATAACAACAGCAACAGAAACTTTGACTGCTTAAAAGAAGCAGTGATAAGCAAGTTGTTTGGACTATCGTACATGCTTGCATTTGTTTGACCACAAGGTTCTTTTTAACAGAGATCATCATTTGCTCTTTTAACAACAATGCACTCAAGAAATGTGCCAATGGCAAAGCTTTTTACATCATGGCCACAGTTAGTACTCAGTTTTTTTACAACATTAATCTAGGAACATCTGGTATATTTGGATGTTGTTTACTCATTTCATGATAAATTTGCAATTTTACAACAAGTAAACAGCCCAAGAGCTAAGATAAGTTTTAAATATGTTGTACTGACATGTATTTGGTACTGACAATTTCTAGTAAACTTCACGGTATTTTGCATGTTTCTATGAATTTTGTGGGATTTCTTGGATTTACTTGAAATTTGCGGCTCCACGACTGAGCGAAGTATCAGAAGCCCTGAGGATTGCTCAACCTTTGTTATTGTAGAAGAGTAAAATAGGCATTTAAACCTTACAAGGTTCTCCAAGTGGTACCAAGTTGCTTCTAAAACAAGAGTTGAAGTTTGGCCAATCACTAATTCAAGTGAGGAGTTGGGTTCAACAGTTTATCAAGAGCTGTTAAGTTGTTAGACCAACATACGCTGTATCAAGGCAGAACTGACAGCTTGGTGAATTGGCGGAAAGTGAATTAAACATCATCAAAGAAACACAATGAGAATATGAAGAATAAATAATTGCATTAACTGCAAGAAAAGAGTTGTGCAAGAGAAGTCATCTGTTGCCTCTCATTAAACATCTCACATATCTTTAGTAATAAATTGATCCATAAATTCATGACTCATGTTTTTTTTAAACCCTTTGCTTCCCTCATAAATGAGCATTTTTGAGAAAAAATGTTATTTTGCACAAAAAAGGGGCATGAACAAAGAACAATAATCAATCAATATAATCAAAAACTTAATTAATGTGTCGAAATTTCGCTTGCCGAGGGGAACCTCCCATCTACTTATTGTGAACCATTTATATAATAAGAAGTGTAATAACAATTTAAAACTAGTAAATGACTGAAAGCCTACCAACTATTACCTATGAGATTAACTATCAATAACATAGCTAAAAAAATAAATAATAAAAATTATGTAACAAAACCAAAACACTAAAAAACCCTAACTAGAAAAAAGGAACCACCTTTCCTTTAAAATTTCCAAAACTTATCATAGTTTCTGTTTACAATGGATTTGAAATTCATAAAGGAATAGGAGGGTTTCACAGAACTACAGCTTCCACGTGCAAAGTCAAAATGCAAATTAGCTGAGTCCCTTTGGGTTTAATTTAAAACAAGAATTTTCGCACACTTTATCCTTTTATCATCTTTCGCACCTTAGGTACAATGTATTGTTCAGACAGGATTTCTTAGAGGTCGGAATTTCGTTTTGGTATTTAGCTATGAGCTGTAACCTCAAAGACAGGTCCGTCTCTCGAAACAACTCGAGCTCAGAATTTGAATTCCCCGCTGTATAAATTATAAAAGCGCAACACGAACACTTGAGGTAAATAATACAACCAAACAAAATTCCAACTTGGACATAAACAAGTGCAAAACAATAGAACAGAAACGAATTTTCGTAAACCACAGTTTTTGTGCTTCAGCTTACCTTTGGCAGGAGTATTCACAGGTATTCATTGCCTAGTCGTTGTCTTCACTTCAGTATTCTGCAGCCGCCACAGCCATTTTCTTTGCACCAAAATCCAGCCAAATGAGGAAAGTTGTGTTTCAAAAGCCACCTGATGTCATAGTAGGCGCATTCATTGGTCATTTGACACCGAAATAAGCTCTAAATCCTCTCAAAACTGAGATATCCCACCATGTTGGATCCTCTTTCGTTCCCAGTTTCTTCCAGATTCGAGCACTCTGCGTTCGAGCACATCACGAAAATTTGTGGCGGGAAAGACAGTTTCACGCGGGAACGAGACCTCACGCGGGATCACGCAGCATATTATATAGACAGCACATTGCGTCCCCATACATGGCGTGCCTTCGTTTTTTCTCGAGGACGCTGACATAATCTGATCGTGGTCGTCGAAAGCCCAACAAAAACAAAATGGCGGCGACTATGGGAACTCACGATGCTTCGTACATTGGCCTTTTAGGTTTAGCAGAAACTTTCAGAACATCGAACCCACCCAAAATCAGGCAATGTATACAGTGTCTCCAGTCTGTGTTTCAATTTCAACCATCGCCCGCCATCCAAGCTCGAACGCATCTACAGCTCGGGAAACTTCTTCATTCGCATACGCAAAATACGGACATGGGGCGTTCACATTTAGAAAAGGCGGTGAGTTTAGTGGTTTGAATAATGTTTGGCCATTAAGTTTCTTGTATTTTGTATCTATGATGTCAATTGTGTTTAATCAACTTTTTTTTTTTTTCAGGTTGTCCAAGCACAATCTGTATCCTTTTATAAATATTGTCGTACGTGAACCAATTAACTGAAATGTAAACTATATACGAGCTAATTAGTATTAGTATACCCATCTAGTGGACTAATGCAAATCCTGCATTTTAATTGGCTATGCTACTAGAGGACTATTAGTAATAGTCCCTAAGTAGCGAAATTGGCGCAATCAAGCATGACGCTTTCTTTCATTTTATTCCCAAATAAATATTTCTTCAACTTACATTTGCTGACTTCATGATTGCCTTTTCTGTCCGACTAGTTGGGTGATACTAAAACAATTAGACCTGCAGCCCTCAAGGGCCATTGGTCAATAGCCCATTCGGTTTCACCTCATAGGCTATTGANGAAATCTTCGAAAGTGTTTGGGGAATCTTTGGAAAGCTTCGGGAGTGTTCTGGTGATCTTTGGAAATCTTTGGAAGGTTTTGTGTGGCCTTCGATAATCTTCAGAAGGTTTAATAGCTTAATTTCATTGGCTGAGTCAAACTGTCCTATTTTTTCCCAAATTGGACAGTTTCTGCATTTTTACTCAAAGACCTTATTGAAAACTGTCCAAATTAAACCCCAAATGGGACAGTTTTTAGAAATTAAAGGATAATAGCTGTGCTGACAATACTGGATTAACTGACTGCTATATAATTAGGGTTGTAATAGACCCTATCACGGTTTTCGACGCTATCTTGACAGGTAGACAAAGCAGTCAGAAATTAGGTCCATTCCTGCTGGTGCCGATCATAGACTAGTATACCTCTTAATAAGCTTAACTCTTATCTAGCTTGGAACTGGATTTGAAGACATTCATTTGGAAGCCATGTGCATTTTAACAGACATTTACAAAGAACAGGTATTATAATTTATGGTTTTGTAGATTCTAAGTGCCATAGGACTTTTGCCATAGCAAGTCAGCCCAGCAGTGGGAATTGTCAAAGGTAATGTTATCTTTTAGTCTTTTAGGCATACATAAAATTAATTAGTTGTTGATTATAATTTTCCTGATTGTATATGTCCCACAGATCTTTTGAAAATCATAAACATCACTTTAGTCCTGCACTTTTCACTGAACCTCATCAGCACTGCTGCATCCCAGCTTTACAGGGTAACAAATACATGTACATAAACAACTGAACTCACTCACAGGTTAACATTGAATTAAATTTCTATTATTTGTAATATCGAATTTGACTTCATTGGTTTTGTAATTTTCAGGGCCAATTTCATCTTGCAAAGTCTTCTTTACGTCAGGCACTTGAAGTGGCTCATGCAAGCATTTTGCCTTTCTGGCAATTCAAAATCACTTTCCAGTTAGCGGTAAGTGTACTGAAAGGAGATGGGAATCTTTCGAGGCATTCTCTGGTCTTAGCTTGGTAAATGTTTCGACGGGACATACTTTACCAGGGATATACGTAGACAGGAAGTATAATCTCTTGGCCTGAATTAAAACACCTTACTCCAATTAGGGGGGGGGGNGGTGGGGGTGACTCCTAAATAAAAGGATAGGGGTTCTTGTCGGAAATTTTGAACAGAACCCCTAAGAAACAAACAAGGTCATGTTTTGTGGGCATGACTTGAAATGTTTTCCACACCTAAGAGGTACCAATTCTAAAGCAACACATTATCTCCTCTGACATTTCTTTTGGCTCAATACCCTAAAAGGTACCACAAAAGCTGCAGATGTGGACCTTTTGAGGCTGAAATATACCTTAAGAGGTTCCAAAACCACATTTTTAACCCCTAAAGGTACGATGAACACCCCTGTTCTTTTTACAGTGTATATGGGAGTCCCCCCCCCCCTCCAACCTTAATATTTAAAAGTGATTGTCATCACATGATTATTCTTGAGTGCGTGCTGGATATATTTAAGCAATGTGCTCTAAGCTGAAATAACCTTTTCTCTCAGAAGCACACTTGTCTATATATTTTTCCCCTGGGTATTTTTTGGTAGGGTGTAAAGAATTCATTGTTTGAAATATGATTTCCCTCTTGCTGTCATAAATTATTGTTTCTTAGGATGTGCATACAAGTGACAAAGAACTGAAAGCTGCAACAGAGGTTCTGGAAATGGGAGAGAGATTTGCTGAGCAGTGTGGATCACACTATATGAAGTGAGAATTGAACTTTATCTCATTTTGTAATTCCTACCTTTCCAATTCCAAAACTGTCTTAAAACACATATTAATGGATGTTATGAATGAGTCTCGTGATTGTAGAATTAAAGGGTGTGTTCCTTTGGGATGATCTGCGTAAGGAACAGTGGTCCCAGTCTGGATTAATGATCCAGCATCACTCAGATCATGATACATAAAAGGAACTGATCTAAGTTCCTACCTGTTTTAAGTAAATGTTATACAAGTTTGGCAGGCTGTAGTGATGATTAATAAATTATTATTTTGTTAATTAAAACCTTGAGATTCCAAATTGTACTTGTGTTTCAGTGGGACCTTGCCATCTCCAAGTCTATTGTCTCAAAGTCACCTCTATTTCAAGCTTAAATTCCATGGATTTGCTTTTCGGTCATGTTAACATGATTTTCTATCTCGATTGCCCACTTTCTCAACTATGTTTTGTTTCCCTTGACACTTTGGGATGGCAAGGTTCAATGTTATGTTAATAGCAGTTTGTGATTAGTACTTCTAGTAATGAAAAAGTCAGTCAGATTTGGAGTACTTCATGTGTATAGACAGGTAATGTAATACAACTCTTTCTCTCTGTTGACTTCATCTTGCTCTCTCTTTTTTAGGTGTCTTTTTGCACTAACCAGAGCTATGGTAAGAGATATTATTAAAGAATACAGTTCAACCCCTATTAAACGGCCACCCTCGTGAAAATGGATAGTGGCCGCTTAAAGGGGACTGGCCACTTAATAGAGGTAAAAACAATAGAGAAACCCTCATCAGGACTTTGATTACTGACTGCCAAATAGGGGTGGCTGTTTGATGGGTGACCACTTAATAGGGGTTTGGCTGTATACCAGTAACTGTACACAGGGGAGGAAAACAGCATTGAAACCACTTGCTCAGTGTGCCAGTAAATTTCAGTTTTCACTTGCTCTCACTTAAATACTGTTTGTCCAAAATGTAAACCAATAGACAAGTACAAAGTACCATAAAAATCAATTTGATAATGATTTAGACACCAGTGGGTCAAAACTGGCCATTTTTTGATAGTGTTTGTAATGAATGATAATGTAATGAAGTTGCCTTCTCGTGAATTAGATGGCCTAATTTTTTTACTGTTTACACAATTCTTTCAACAGGCATTTATGATGATCAAAGAGTTGAGTCATACCAATGCCATTTTATCTATGGTCGCAAGTTTCCTTGAGAGGTGGAACATTTCTACTTATCAACGGGAATCAATTCAAGTGTTTTATTTACTGCTTAAAGTGTGGAACTTTTTAACATTGGGACAGGTATTAACTATTATTTTTGTATTACATATTTTGAGATACATGTACTGCCTGTATTTAGCTCTTATTAACTGAGCTTAGTCGGTCTGTACAGGAGAATCTTGACCAAGGTTGTGAGTACAGACTGAACACAGTGAGGTCTCTATGCAAGACTAAGGCCAAGATTCTCCCATACAGACCGACTAAGCTCAGTTAATAAGATGTTTATCATATGGGAAACAAGAAAAAAATTAATGTGTTTAATTAATGTGCCTGGTTTGTACTAACTTACATTTTGCTTGCGAACGGTGATGTGCTGAACTTAATTCTGCCAAAGTTTGCTCATTCTCTTTACTTTTTTTTCTCATCAGGCTTCTTTTGCATTTCCATAAATAAATATTGTTAGAAGAAAATAATCAATATTTTTGTATTTTAGTTTGCATGTCATGTGCTGTCATATTAAGGCTGACCAAGGAATGACAGCCCTGAAGTACGTGGAAAAAATGGTCCATTGTTGCTTTTTTTTCCTTGTTAGGCAAAAGGTGTCAGACCACACCTAAAACAATTGCAGCAATCAATACAGATATTAACAACACTCCATATGGATGGTACGTTTAGCTTGGGTAGCTTATTTGATTTTATATCTGCATGAAGCCTTTTTTGCTGTTGGTAAGCTAGATATAGCACATGAACATGTATTGCATGCAACTTACAGAAGTTTCTCTAGATTAGTGTGGTTCTCTGGAGATGATTAGATTACTGCTGTTTGCACCTGAGATTTCAATAATCCAAAGGAAGTTCGTCGTCTGAGTCAGCCAATTACCCTGGTGAAAAATCATTTGGTACATGTAAAATTTTCAAAGACTTGCTGAAGATCCTTGGATCCTCAGGTGAGGATCTTACAGAGATCTTAACAAAGAACTTTGCAAAATGTTCCTTAAAGATCCTCAAGCCAAGGATAGATAGCATGCTTTTTTCAAGAATCCTGCAATAACCTTGAAGATCTTAAGGGGTTATACTTGTAAATGTAAATGAAGATATATCTTTGAAGGTCCTTGCGAAGATCTCTGAAGATCCTTGAAATATTTTCACTAGGGTAGTGTCATGTCTCTTGGCTCAGGCGTTGTTCTCCTGAAATTCTACTAAGGTTGGCAAAACATCAGTCCTAACAAACAGTCTTTTTCCTCCCCATCAGACACCCACGCTATGTTAAACAATATTTCCAAGCCAAAACAATTTATTTGTCATATTATTTATTTATTTATTTATTTATTATTAAATTGTAGAATCACAAATCCATGAGGCTGAACGATTTGAATGGTTGACCAAGGAGCACCTTTGTGTTTTAGTTTATTTGGTAAGAATGTCATTCTGCAGTTCTCTTGGTATGCAATGAAAAAAAGGCGCTAATGCTGCCTCTGAGCTGTCTTTTTAAAATATCTTTCTTTCTCTTACAATGAAGTGTGTCAGAAGAGTACACATCAAGATTAAGAAGTGCTTTTTTCCTTTTATTTAACATTTTTGTGAGCATCTTCCATCAAATTACTTACATTCCCTGTTTATACCTTAGTTTCTGATTGCTACCACATTATATATTATCCATGGTACCATCTCTGTTCTTGCCAACTACATTCATTTGTAAGCTTACTGGTAAAGTTGACAAAGATCAATATACAAATGTTATACACAAGTCATGTAATAAAAGTGACCATTATACACTGCAGTCTTCTTGCAGGAGATGGGTCTGTATTGATGCTTGAATCAGGGAACCTACTAAGATAACAACCATTACAGGCTTTTTTGCAAACCCCAAGCATATTATTTTGTGATGTTTATCAAAATCTCGGCATACTTGAGCAAAATACACAAAGAGTAATAAATTATATGACTGTCTTATTGAGCTAATGTTCAACCCTCTTACAATCTACACAATCTACAAAAACAATTATTTTAAAGTAAATACAGAGGACACTTCGTTTCTTCCCATCTCCCTCCCCTCATGCCAGCCTACCTTTTAAAAGCAAAAGTTAGACACACCTTTCTGCTCCTTTGGGTTTCAGGTAACAGTAATGCACTCCATGTATGCAGGATATATGGAAAAGGCAATCAGATATAGTGAGAAAGCTCTGGTTCAAGTGGATCGGTTAAAATGTGAGTACTGGGAAACCAGTCCTTGGGACCAAAACTAGAGTTGCGGTAACAAAGGAAGTCATATGTTCAAGTCTTTAATGAACATTTGACAAATTCTCCCAATCTCCTAGTGCTGTTAAAACAATGTATCAATCAATCAATCAATCAAAAACTTTACTAGTGTCTTGTCTTCTAGCCATCCATCAGGCCTACTAATCTGACATAGTTACTAGTGAGTAATTATTGTTAAGGGGAATTTATTTGCCTACATATCTTTCAAAGTTGAATTTATGGTTTAAGAACTCAGTTCACTCATCATTAATTTTAACTGTCATTAAATTTGTTAAATTCTTCTGCCCAGTACTGGAGGAAAATGTATCCATGGACATCTGTAAAGAGAATTGTCATCTTGAAAACAGCCCCTGATAAGCTTCTTTCTGCTTCTTCTGTTGTCCCAGTTCCAATCATGTTATATTACAGTTAGATGTAACTCTATTTTAACTGAGTTTTTTTTGCAATTTGTGGTTCCGCAAGATAAGGAGGAGTAGGTGGCAGAACAGTTCTGCATAGAATATCACATGATATAATAGGCAATAGACCTTATTTGCACTAATGGTAACTGACACATACTGTTTTGGGAATAATGCAATAATTTGGGCCAAAGATCTTAGTTTGTTTCTTGCAAAAGTTCACTGCTCAGCAAATTTAAAAGTATCTTGAGGTTTAACAGAAAAGGATACTGGCTCCAAAAGAAATTTTATAAGTGGTTTTACTGAACATTCATGATCTAGGGACATTGTCATTAATATTATAATTAATATTAATAATGATAATTTATTCTGAGTTATAATTCCTCCCAAAGCTACTACACCAAAATCAGGCCTGTTGTCAACATTTAAACTGGTGCTTCTAGAACACATGATTCTTTGTAGAATGGTACAAGGACAGATGCCACAAGCAATCAAAGAGGTGAATAAAATCACCTGTGTTGGTATATTATACATAATGTACACATATAAAGAAATAGTATAACTATTGTAGAAAAATGATACGAAGTCTGCAGTCACTTTGAATAAGCTACTTGAATTAAGCATGGAAGTGTGTACCTTTTTTTGCACTATAGCTCATTCCTGTACATTATGTAGTAATAGTGCATTTTGTCTGTTAGTGAGTCAGAGAATGCAAATTGATTAAAAGGCTGTCACTTATGCACTTTCAGATTTCTCAAGTTTATCAATTCGCTCAACATGATGGAAAATTTTTGACAACTCATCAATCTGTGTTACATACTCTTCTGGTAGGTTTTATTTTGTTCATTATCAGTGTTTACCATTAATGTCGTTCCTAACGAAAGTAAGTTAACTGTGGCGACTTGCAATTGAACCAGAGCTATTAATCAAATACAAACAACTCATGATGGTGTTAATGGGGGAACACTGCCTTGCATTTGGTTAGCCCATGCGATTGCCGGCAAGAACATGACAAGCAACCTCACTTATCTCCCAGCACTATGAGCTGAATGACAGACAGCACATGCTGGATCAGACAAGAGTATCAGTTAGCAAGCAATGTTCAAAGGCAATGAAAAAACAACAAGCTAGGGGGATGTTGCTGTGCAGACTTAACTGCACTACACAGGAGTGACCCTTTGTTTATTATGCAGGAATACATGACCAACCTCATCTCCAAAGGGAGGGAGTCAGGGAAAATTATCTACTTGCTTAGGAGCATATTTGTAAACCATAGTCAGGGGGATTGCTGAGTCCTGTCATTGCAGCATACAATTAATTGATGATGAAGACAATAGTCCTGACTCCCACCTAAATTTCATAGCTGGTGTATATTCATTTTTGTTGAAAGTTTCTTTTAATATTTCAACTGTTAACAATGTCCACCTCCTTATCAGGCCTTGTACGCAATGTCCATGAATCTGATGGACTCAGCCTTGACACAGTTTAATACAGCTTTAGAGGTAAGGCAAATAATAAAATTGGAAAAAAAATTCATGAATTTAATTTTGTACTTTGAAAGGTGTCACTAACTGAAGCACATCAATTAACAAGAATGAATAAACATTGATTTGCATATTAAAATGTACATGAATTTGAAATAATAACTGTGTACTTAATTGTAAGGTGTCATTAACTTTAGCGCATCAAGGAATACAGTAACATTGATTTGATTATTCTAAGCCACTTAGCAAATAATGTTGTGAGTTGCCTACTACATAATATTCAACTGAGCAATAAATTTGATAGCGTACAACCTAATCAATTGCCTAAAATTATGCTTATGGCATATCACAAGTTCTCAAAAACTAAATTGTAGTGGATTCTCAGAAAGAAGCTTTAGGTTCAATTACACTTGACAACTCTAGACCTTTAGGCCATGCAGAGAGCACAACTCAAGGCAATTACAGTGGAATTCCAATTTCTCAAACCCTCATTTTTTCGAACCTCTGGATAGCTCAAACCAAAAGTCGTTTCCCCTCCTCAGTCAAACACATTAATTTTACCCCCAATTTCTCAAACTATCCAATTTTGCAAACCAATTTTCATTTCCCTTGGAGGTTCAAAAAATTGGGATTCCACTGTATTGAGATTTTATATGTATGTCAGCAGATTTAACCAGTGGCTTGTGACATGTAAGTCTGTTATAATCTAGGATGTTTGCCTACTTGCAGACCTGCAGTCAGCCGGAGCTCAGGAATTTTATTGGTTTAAATCTGGCAATTGTTTACATTCGCTCTGGAGTGGGAGGCAGTAGAAGTATAGAGGTGCGTGCAACTAAAGCAGAAGTATAATTTTTGCTTTTGAGTACTGAACTTAAGTAAACCTTCCATGAAAGTTGTACAGGTCTCTTACATGTACAAGTTTGCTGGCAATAGTTTCCAGCTACTACTTGTACTGCTCTTAATTAGTTGATGCTACTACTATTAATCGTATCTATAACAAAATTCTCAATTGTGATTGGTTCTCTCTGCACCTATTTGTCACGTAATCAGCGCACAATCACCTGGATGTCCAATTATAGGTAGCCAATTTGAACATTTTGTAACTGGATACCCACGTGAATCACCCATCAATTACACTTGCTTTAATGGCTTCTTCGTAATGCTCTCTACAGTTAAAACTAATGGAAATCTTTTTTTGCTCAAAAGAAGTTCTCCAAAGACTTTTTTAATTTCGAAATTTGTAATAAATACGATTAATTAGCAATTGGACCTTGTGTTGTACGATTCAGGGAGTAATCGTGCTCGTAATTTTAAATCGGCCTTGTGCTTCGCAGTCATCCAAGTTTGAATTACACACGTGATTACAGTACAAATCAGAAGAAACCTAACAGGGAACGCGTTTGCGAATGGGTATAGAACACATATAGAACAGGTATGAGAATGTGAACAGAACAGGAATGGAGCAGATACAGAACAGGAACGGGAATGTGTGTGGAACAGAAACAGAACGCATTCTGTCAAGCATTCCCTGTTTGGTTTCTTCTGATCAGTATTGTACTCCATGAATTGTACTCCACTCGGTCCAATTACATGACTGTACTATTACTAATAGTCCAGTTACTAATAGTGTTATCAAATGAATGCCTCTGGTGAACAAGTTGAGATCATCTTTGATAGGAACTTCTATATTGTATTGTCACTTTTTGGTTACCACAGCCATGCCATGCGCTATGGGCACCAACTGAAATAAAGTTGAAATCCAGAAGATTGCCTATTTTGCATTTTTGATCCTAAGAAAATGTTGTTAAAAGTAGTGCTCTGCAGATCAAACCCCCAAAATGGGTCAAATGTTCCAAAAGTTTCCCCCTAAAAATGTAACATTGCTTAGAAGTAGATTTTGCAATAAAATATTAGTTTATTTTTATTGCAAAATGTAAAATATCAGCCAAAATAAGTGTGAAAAATGTACTTTGAACACTTTCCTTCAACTCTGTGAGACTCCTAGATAATCTGGGAGAATTGCATAGATGAAGTATCTAGTGTCAACACGACAAGGCCAGGTAACTGTGCTTACTAGCACAGCTCCAGCTGTCTGAAGGGCCACTAAGCAGAGATCCATACTCATAGAAACCCGTGAATCACTTTTCTCATGGTAAAAATGACTAGTGGTATTGCTTGTGTATGCGTACGCACGACATCAATGATGACGACAACATTACACAATGTGGCGGCCATACTCCAGCTAATAAGTTGACGGAGACAGGCAGCCTTGGTTTACAACACTCATCTTTGATATTGGACAGGCATGTTATAGTCAATTGACACCTGTCAAAAAAGGTATCCACTGACCAGTATCACATGACCATATTGTGGGCTCAAGTTTAGAGTGCTTTGAGGTGACATATTTCTTAGAGTTGACCACCGACCAAGTACTGTTTGTTTTTTTTCAATTGGATCACAGGCTCAAGCCAGGTTAACTTGTTGTAATCAGGCTGGGTTGTTCGGTAGCCAGTTAGCACTAATCCCGAATTAAAAGTCTTGTATAGAAATGTTTTTCACTGCTTATGTTTTGTATAGGTAGGTAGGTAAAGTCTACATACAAGCCAAGGGGTGCATCAGGCCAGAGCTTATCCTGGTTTCTGTAGCATGAAGTGACTAGGAGTATTTCTACTCCCCCCTAGATGGGATGGTAGTCCATTGCAGGGTTGCCCTCAGCGTTATAGGTCACCAGTGCCTATTTATACACTTGGGTGGAGAGAGGCACTGTGAGAGTAAAGTGTCTGGCCTAAGAACACAACACAATGTACCCAGTCAGGGTTCGAACCCAGACCGCTCGATCAGGAGTTGAACACACTAACCATGAGGCAGTGTTTGTACGGGTCCTGGAAAACCTGGAAAGTCCTAGAATTTTTGTTGTGGCATTTTCCAGGACTGGAAAGTCCTGGAAAATGGCTACTGGTCCTGGGAAGTTCTGGAAATCTGTTAAACTCAAGTAAAAAATATGAAATGTATGACAGACAGTAAGGAGAATTAGCATTGAGATCTTGGGAGTGAAAGGGTTAATGTGAATTTTAGAGTCCTTGAAAAATCAATCTGAGTCCTGGAAAAGTCCTGGAAAAGTCCTGGAAATTTGTTTCTGAAAAAGGGTACGAACCCTGACGAGGCCAACCGCGCCTTTGAGATTATTCAAACTTAGACGGCCAAACAATGATATAAACAGAAAACCTCACTGTAAAGTTAAAAAACAAACACGCTTATGCTGGATTAGCTTAATCAGGTTCTAAACAGCCCGGCCCAGGAGCTCCACTTTCAGGCTTGGCTAAATCTATATATGTTAGTCTTTTTTTAATTATTAGTACTTTTCTATTGTGCAAATTAATGTTAGTAATAGTACACTTACCAAAGACAACAATCTGCAGAGTGATATAATTATGTAAATTTATTTATTATTTTATTTTAGTATCAATAATTGATTTCAAATTATTAGCATGTGCTAAAAAATACTAAATGTACTGCACTTAAAAAATTTCCAAGTAAACTTTACAAGGTGCAGCTATAATTTCTCCTTTTTTTTTTTAAATCGTCTGATCTATAATTTATTTTGTTTACTTACAGCTTCAAAATCTATTGGCAAAGATAAGACCAGATCAGCTTCCCACATGGTAATTTACAAATAAATTAATGTAATGGTACATCATGACAATTTTATATTGGTAACCTGATTTACATACAATTAGGTGTTCATAGGTTTTTCTTGGTTGTGGCTTAGTAATAGCCTTTCATACATGAATATATTATTCTCCAAATCTCTTTTAATCTCCTGTTCCTCTAACAAGTTCCCCTTCATCTCCCAACTTGTTACTTGCATCATCAACACTAAATCCATGGGGCATCATAAAATAGATTAAAAAAAGCAAAATCGTAATATACTGTTAATGATGAAATCCTAAAATTGGTAAAATACTAAAAATAATTAATGCAATTAATGTTGGTTTTCACGATTTTTAGTTTTAGTGCAATACCATTATTATGTCAGTAATTTGGTAATTTTCTGAGAGATGTTAAAAGTTTTTAAAAACTGACATGATTAATCTTATTTGTCTTCAGTTCACATAGTCACCAAGCAGGTTATTACTATATCAGAGGATTACAGTCATTCTTTGAATCACGTTTCATGGATGCCAAGTAAGTCTATAAGTTAATAAATAGCAAATTATAATATTGCTGTATTACTACAGCAGGCTTCAAAATAATATCACAATAGCGATAATGAGAGTTTTTGTAATGTTATGCATGTAGAATTTCATAACTGGCCTTCAGACAATTTGTTTTATTTTCAGTCAACACTTAAGTGAATTTTCCACATGTCTTTCCAAGAAAAAATTTTAAAAATCAGATTCCAAATTATTGTGATGATATCTCAGCGTGACTATATGTATTTACTTGTACATGTACATGCATCTATTCTAAGAACTTTAAAGGAATCAAATCATGCCATTGGTGACTGATTGAATAAGAAAAACTGTACACCATACTGAATAATAATTAAAAAATAAGCATTTACATAGTTGATGGTACGAAAGGAATTATTGTTGGTCAGAATTAGTATATCAAGAATTTGTGTGATATAGACTTATAATTTGATTAACGTTAATTTTTTCTATGTGGCAGAAAATACCTACGGGAAACTTTAAAGATTGCTAATTCAGAAGATCTGAACAGATTGACAGCTTGTTCACTTGTCTTGCTTGGAAACACATTTTTATCTCAGGGGATTACACAGGTATGAGGTCACATGATTCTGTTTTTAAGGTGTTCTTTCAAGAAATATAGATCTGTTCAATTAATTAGCCATAGCTTCTTGATTGTCGTGCCATGCAACACTCCTATTATGTATTGTTCCAATTTTTTTTTTCAAATATCTTTTCCTGTAACAGTTTTTTCTGACAGTTGCCTGATGATTGCTTTGGAGGAAGCATGAAATTTTGAGTAGCAAGTAAATGTCTTGGACCAACTAATCCAGCTCTTTACGTCTACTGTAGTTATAAATTGCTGTACAGGTTGCAGTCAAACTATTGAACACTCTCATAGCCGATGAGGATTTCAACCTGCTCTTTGATCTGTATAATCATGTATGTAGAGTGTAGTTGTAAACAGATTTGACTTTGCATGCATGTGTTTTAACTTTTCAAAGGCCCAGATCAAATGTTGAACTTCACATGAGACGAACTAAATTGCAATTTGAATCGCTCTTAATTGGCCAAGCTCCATTAATGGGTCAAACATGGAACTTAATTCAAATTTAGATTGACCAACATGTTCTATCCATGTTGGTCAATCTAAATTCAGTCGGACGAACTCAGTTGAGTCAAACGTTGAACTTACCATGAACTTAATTCACTCAGTTTAGTTCATCTGATGTGAAGTTTGACATTTGACCTGGACCTAAGGGGGCACAACAATGTCCATGTGTTTCTTTTTTGAGAACAGGAAAAAGTGATAAAGTTAAAACATATGATCATGGTTTCCATTAAAAACATCCATGGTTGTTTGTAAATTGTGCTTTCCACATACTGTATTACTATTAAAAGGAAGCTTTAGACATGGCATTACCTGCAAATCAACTGGCTAGCCGTATACCTGACTCTTATATTCATATGTGGGCAGCATCACTTCTGAGAGGTGAGGGAACTAGTCTTAAATACCAGCATGTCCAATTGTAGTAAATAAGTAGGAAGATTGTGTAGGAGGCTCAACTGTGGACAAGGGTGATAGGGGATAGGGAATTATGAAGGGATGTATATAAGGGTGTCATTTATAGCAGAGCTCCCCCTATACTCATATAGGAAAGAAAAAGAAACCCATGAGTTGATTTTCTCATGGTTATCATGGCTAGCGGTACTGCTCATGGGCACGTACGCACGACGGCAACAACAGCGACAGAGAGTTGCCCAACATGGCGGCCATACTCCAAATAATAGGTTGACAGACATGCAGCCTTGGTATCACGTGACCATATCGCTGGCTCGAGTTTACAGCTCTTCGAGGTCACATGTTTTTTCAAGTTGACCGCTGACCAAGTGCTGGTTATCGATTGGATTGAGGGCTCATATTAGGTTAACTTGTTGGAAACAGGGCAGGATTGCTCGGAAGCCGGGTAACGCTAACCCAGGATTAAAAGTTGACCAAATTATAACTTTTTCTTCTATACAAATGTTTTTTGCTGTTTTGTTTTGTGTATAGGGTGATTATTAAAACTCAAAACAGAAGGCCAAACAATATACAGAAAACATCACCGCAAAGTTACATGAAATCAAAATTCTACCTTTTCCTGGGTTAGCTTAATCAGGCTCTGAACAACCCGGCCCAGGAGCTACACTTTTAGGCTGGCCTAAATCTATATATTAATGGGCTACATTCCTGTGCAGCACCAGGAGAGGATGGGAAGGGGTTATCTATGAGGAAAGACTACTGTAGTAGTATATAGTTTTACAAGAGGGGGCTATCTACATGTAAAAGAGAATATATGTACATGTGTTTGGTTTATGGAGAAGCTAACTACAGGGGTACGTCTAGACATAGGGAACTAATCTATAGCGGAAACTAAACATTGTTATAAAGAGGAACTATTGCTGCAAGTCAGAGAAAACTATGCCCAGGGTTATCAGAGCATCAATGAAGAAGTCTAGCTACTTTACATAGACAGGGACTACTTGTATCATGCATTTATCAAACTAGGAGGGATGATTTTCAAAGTCCTGGAACATCTGTATAATTATAATGTTTCTTAAACAGATCTTTATGGCGTAATGGGTGACCCTGTCTCTGCTAGTGAATATTATCAACTGCATAACAGCTTCACCAAGCGACTTTTGGATAGTAAGTCACCATTGCTATATATTAGTTATGCAATGCTTTTGAGCGACATACCATGGAATATCCCACAAGTCACTTGTATTTACAAGTGACAAGTGGGATATTCCTTGGTATACCAGGATAGAGCATTGCATAACTATTTTATACCATGCCATAGTACATGTAAGTGGTCAGCACAATCGATGGAACACATGCGCGATGGGAAGGTTCGGTGTAATACCATCAAATATACAAGAGTTTTCCTGTATTCTGATTGGCTGTATTTTCTATGGCATGGACCGTATAAAATCATATTTATATATATGTATAATCTACATGTGGACCAATCCAACCACTGGTTGTTCATCTGTTTGAGTGAGATTATTAAAACCTGAATCATTGGATAATGCAATTCGAGAGTTTTCATTGGCTTAGCCATCATGGGTTATGAACCATTATACCATGCTTTAGGAACATGGTAAGCATGCATGTGACTTTTTTTGGCATTTTTATTGTTATTTTAGTTTAGTTTTCTATATTTTGGGGGTGTTTTTTTAATAAAACAATTATTCCACTCACGCTTGTTGGATATGAAATGATTATAGCCAACTTGGCGCTGTGCACCTCATTGGCTATCTACCATTTCAAATCCAACACATGCTCATGGAGTATTTGTTAAAAAGCAATCAACCATAAAAGTTCATTAATTATATTTTCTCTGGATTGAAATGAGGAGGAGTCATTCATTGTCACGGGTTAGGGACTGTTCATTTTTTATGTGGTAGGGGGGGCTGGTGGAATTTGGAGGGGTGTTATTTGAAAATTGTATGACCCCCCCACTTCCTGATATCTTTTCACATGCCCTCCCCCCATCAGTAATTTTTTGGGATGCCCCACCCCCTTGAATTAAAAAAATACATATGGTATTAAAAAAGTTACTGCATTGAAATTTCGTTTTGTTACATTTCACAAAATTTATTGAAAGAAAGCTGCTTTTAACAATCTTTGCTCAAAAGAATGAAAACTCGATTTCAGCTCCTCTTGTTACTGCTCGTCCTGAGCATGTTGTAGCTGGCCACTCGTCTGCATATTCCTCATCTGAGGTGTTAAAAGCAAGAACGACATCATTTGAGTTGTCTTCAGAGTCAGGGGCGTCGCTCTTGTTTTCATCGTCAGTTTCTTCTCCCTCGATGCTTTCACCACTGCTGTCTAGTTGACCTGATTCATTGCTGCCTCCCACTTCGGCTTGACCAGTTCTGAGAGTATTCATCGGCAAGAAGTGTCCCATAATTGCCTACACTTTTTCATTCTTGCTGCTCTTCTGATGCTGTTTTAATAGTCCATGATATTTTAAGTATTTGTTCAATTCTGGCACTCGGAGCTTTTTTAGCTTGGTGGCATCTTCGCACAAATTAGCCCAATGATAATCTTCATAGGATTTTTCTCTTGCTTCCCTACTTTCCCTTGCCCTTTCCTCCAGTCTCTTCTTTCTTTTGGCCTCAAGATGCTGAAGATAGTCAAACACAAACTTTGGTTTCACAATGAATGGTTTGGGGCATCTTCCTATAGGTGGTCCAGCCCATTCACAACAAAAAGAACAAATTTGTCCTACCTTTACGCCACAAGAAAACTTCAGAAACTCCCTGTAGTTCTCACCCTCCTCATAATGTTCGCTAATAAACTTTTTATGAATGAAAAGAAAGTTGTTACTATTCAAGCACTGTTATTATGAAAGATAAAAGCTGTTGAGAAGTTTTCTTGTTACCCTGGAACTGTTTTAGCATATTTGTTATAAATAAAAGGAAAATTTTTCTTCAATTTGTAAACATCTCTCATCCTATTTTAATCTTATTTTTTTCGTCCAACCCCCCTCTTTCCTTGCCAAATTTTTTTTTTCGTGGCCCCCCCCCCCCTCCAACTCCCACCACCACCACCACCACCCTCTCTCACAAAAAATGAACGGTCCCTTAAGTAACTGATAACTAGGATGGTTGCTTTTCTTATTGATAATGTGTTAATAATTAAAATAGTCCATATAAATGACACAAATTTACCAGCCCAAATAACTCTGAGGTTGTCAATGTATGTATCTTGTACACACATCAGGAATCGCTTTACATGTAGCATGCATAATTCAGACCAGTCCTAACTAAGTTTTTACAACTTGTTGCCAAATCAAGTTCACCAAATATGTTATTAGAAAATACTTATTGACTTCTGGCACTCCTGCTCAGTCAGGAAGGTCATATATATTATATCATATATAATATAACAATTATCTCATCCTCCCAGGTCATATGCAAGCTAGTCAGATGCCAGAACACAGACTTATTGAGGTAACAGTTGTTATCTAAAACAGGAGTTTCTGATTGTAATTTTACTGTCAGTAATTTATTCCCAATACATTGGTATTTAATTTCAACTTTTACATTTCTTAGTGCTTGGATGACAGAATCAGTCCACCGCTAGTATGCATGGGCAGTTTAATACTTTAACTTGTCAATTTGATTTCACTCTTAGTGGGTTGGTGGCATCAGTCCACCAAGGCAATCAGCTACGAAACAAACAGCTGGACTGTTGACAACTTTTCCTCAAGCTGGACCTAGTAGTATGATGTAATGCAAATGAACACTACAGACTCGTGGATATCAGAATTCCATTTAACAGAGCTGTGTTAAATTATCACTTTGTAATGTGGCATTATTAGCAATGGTTGCTGTGGCAGCACTTGAAAATCATCATCATCATCATTACCATTATCATCATTATGGCTGGGAATGACAGGATGTATGTATGGAGCAAGTAATGGAGCTGTCAGTTGTTGTAAAATTCTACACATTTGTCACGTGGGGATGATTCCTATGGTGAACATATCAGCTTTGGTGGAATTCTTAATTGCATCCTCTTGTGGACAAGATGAAAAATTTCATCTCATGGATTTATGCTGTTATCTGCATTATAGTCATGACTGTGGATCAGTTTCATCATGGTCATTGATACTGGTGTACATGTGACTGAACTTAAAGCTATGTCGTACCGCTGGCTAGTGCAATCAAATCATTGGAGACATTTCATGTTGATACTTAACTTGTGTTTGTGTGTGTGTTTACCTGCACTCATCTCACAACCCAAGACTTAAAACTTGAAATCTTGTGTGGAAAATGAGACCTCATTATATGAGTAACTAGTGTAAATATATATGTAGATAAATGTATGTTTAAGGGGTCACGTCATAATGCCCAACCTTAAGTTCATATACAATAATTTTGTTGACAAACTTAAAAGATAAGTGACCAGCGAATGTCAATCAATAACTTAAAATGTAGACTACTAAAATTCTAATTAATAAGTATTTTGCTACAAATACTAGTCGTCATCCAGTTGTTCCTTTCATTACATTATCAAGTTGATAGGCAGGGAGAATATGGAATATCACCATCTAGGGGATATCATCCTGATGTACTACCAAATTTTCAAAACCAACATTGAAATAAATGTAGCAGGAATTAGTTGGGAAAATTGATATTCATCAAGCTTTCAACTTATTGGGTGGAGCCATCTGTATGTTTTTGAAGCAAGTCTTCCATTGAAGGTAAATGATGTTGGGTTATTTAATAACAATGTGTCCCACAAGTAACCTGTCTCAACTTTTTGAACTCAGTTTCAACTCTCAGCCAATCAGCATGGTGACATTTTTTGCACATATATTATTAGCCACAGAACAAAACAAAATGGAAACCAAGAGGCACTACACAGATCCATGTAAAGTGATATTATCAGCATGTAATGTTTTTAGTTAAATTGTAGACTTTTTCTTTTGAGATGGAATGGTTGAATGTACAAAGAGAGATGTATGTTTATGAAGCCAAGTTACCATGTGGTAGCTCCCTCCCTTATGAAATGGTTGCCCAAATCAAACAGAACCTATCAAATTTAATGTAAGAATGCTGTCAAAAATCTGTCAATAATTTTTTGATCAGAAACAGTATTTTATGCATCACTGTAAGATATGTACAAATGTTATATAACATCTTTAGATGTAATCTCCATGCATGGCTACCACAAAGTAGTGGTGGCATTTCAGTAATGTCACGTACTTAAATGTCGTAAGTTGTAAATATTGTGCAAGTAAGTTTAATATATCAGTCTTTTAATAAATCACAGATTTATATTAACTTGTTATCACATTTCAATTTATGATAAACTTACTTGTAAATCTGGTTGACTCACTTGGAGCAAGTCTAACTTGTCGATATACAGTTCTGTATTAACTGCTCTAACTGACCAAGTTAGCATTTGTTATTACCGTACCCAAATTCACAATTAGCCAATCAGAAGGTGTGTCCACTGCCTGATATCCTGCAATATCAAGTCATTGACCTGATATAGCTACAATATCGTGATCACTTGACCAAATTTGGTTACAATAAATCTTTTTGGTAAGCTTCGGTGACATATCAGGCTCAGTTGGTCTCGCCATGGGTATTTTGGCTTGACTATGTCTCACCTGGTCCGGCCTCAAGAGTCCTCAAGGGCCCCGACAAGGATGAGTGAGTGAGTGAATGATGTCTCACCTGGTATGCCACCGAAGCGTACCAAAAAGGTACAATTAGTTATAACTATCACCAACGACACACTTGCATGATGTCATTATTTGACTACAACTATTAGGATTTATTTTGTTTCTCCATTATTATTTAAATTTTTAAACTACAGTGAGATTTAACCAACAAATGCCCTAATTAGCATTAGAAAAAGAAAAAAGGAAGGGTTCCGATACTTGTCAAATTTTGCCACCATGCAAATCACCTACTCAGCTGACTTGTGAAACTTCTGGATCTAATTTTAACTTACAGTCTTATACAATGCATTGTCTGGTGATGAAAGCATATGAAAATAATAATCCCAATTAGGGAAATATGAAAAAGGTGATTAATATTCTGGGGTTGGGGGCAGATGAAAATCCATTCTTGCATTTGTGATCTCCTTATCCACCTCCTTTCTTTTAATGTGCCATCTAAATAAATGAGAAAATATTTTTTACCATTTCTCATATTTCACAGTTTCAAAATATTATGCTACTCATCAACAGAAATCTATTGTTATCAATATTGATTACTGTCAACAGGAGCCATTGTTCATTGTGAGGTGACCTTCAGGAACTCTTCTAAAAATAAAGACAGCTGATTAGATTTTTTTCCCTAAATGCCATCAAAAGGGCCGTGTTTTATAATTAATTTTTCCCCCAAGACATTTGATTCCTTATCTGGCATTATCAGACAAAATTGATGTGGTTTTTCATAGGGTTTTATTATTAATTGCTGTAATTTGATGAGTATTCACTTTGTTGTCTTGCATTTCCTTGCAAAAATTTGCTTAGATTTCCTTTCTATCAGGTAAACGTTATTTTTTATTTAGTTACTGTTTCGGGCAAAGATGATTAATTTTTCTCATGAAGTGATCATTTTCAGCCAAATTTTCTTGGTTGCTCGAAAGTTATAATCAATTTATAAACAAAACGTTTTCAGCGAAATCTGAAACTTTTCAAGCGTCAGTTATTTTTCCTTCCACGTTCTCGAACAACATGCAATGAAAACAGTAACAAATTTTGACATTACCATTGTTCCGCCTGTAAAAACGCAAACATTTTACTGGCGAAACTCCTTGATTAGAAAGTGACGAAATACATTATAAATATTTGTTCAGACCTATCCTTTTGAAAGAAACAAAACCATCTGTTTCTATTCCATTTCATCTTAGCGAATTATATAAACGTAAAAAAGAATAAAAAAATGTAACTGAGGCACATTTAGCGCAAAAATATACAACCTATTTATCTCGGGTAATTACTTAAGTGTAAATATTCTATCGCTTATGGAATATGCTATATTTGGATTGACATTTTAAATGTAGAAGGCTATATCATTTACAAACCCCAAACAACAATAATTGAAGTGATAACCATTGTTATTTTGGGTTGTTAAGTAGCCAATCAGACGCCTCAATTCAGCCATGCGTGCAATGGTCTATTGAAAGGAAACAATCGCATGTTGACAATGTCTTAGCATAAATTAATTTGTCGAATTCCTCAAAGAGAATCGAAGATCAAAAGCATTATTGATACGCGAGCCCATGAATTTTACGTTACAACAATCAAATGCAACATTTGAAGGTATGTAGAAAATCCCCTCAGATTGGTTGGACAATCATGAATGTTCAGTTTTTTTTGTTTTTTTTTTGGCGGGTTGTTTCGTGTGACTGATTTTTAAGTCAAGCATCTCAGAAACGATCATGATTCTCAAGTTCCCACAGTAACTTTTTGATCCCCTCTATAAAATCAAAGAAGTACCACAATTGGCAGGTGAACATTGGTTGATCTGTTACTTGTGAAGCTCATACCCTCCAAGTTGGTTTGCATAGCATACCCTTCTGAACGTTATTGCAGCAGTTTATTACAAAGGGGAATCACCCTTTTCAAAGTGAGTAGTAAGATTTTTCGGTGAGTGAAGAAAACGCAAAGTATCATTTGGAGTTGCACCATTGGTGGAACACCTCTTTCCTGTAACATGGGCAAATGGTAACAGCACAACTCCTTGGGTACTTTTCTTGTTTATCCCTAGGCGAGAAAAGATTACTGATTGTTTATCAAGTCTTTTACTGCCTGCCGACAATTACTCAGTGGCATCCAACCAATCATAGGGTGTTATCACAAGTGGATTAGTAAACGTCATGAGTGCTGCCAATAACACCTGCACACAAACTTGTCAAACCAGTTTGACCACTTTCCCGGATGTCAACTTGATTACGTCATCCTCCTTTACAGTACAGCTTCTGTTGCCCAGGCAACGGGCAGATCTGATAGCGTTTTCCAGATTTTGATTGGTCTATTTAGCAGCTGATTGACAGGTTGTCGGTTTCAACACAGCGGGTGTGGGAGCCGACTTTTTGTGCACACGTCTATCAGAAGGTTTTGTGGCGTTTGATTTCATGTTCCCGCCCCTGCCTCTTTTGCTTGAAAATCCCACATACTTTTCTGCTCGCCAAGAGGAAATTAAGGAAGACTTTCGGTGTCAGTTTCGAGTTCAAACTCCCACGAGGATTCACGATTCATCCCAAAACGATATTCGACGATTCCAGTACATATTTTGATATCTTTCAACGAGCGACCAGACTTCCACCGCCATTGTATGTGTCGTGTTCTCTGTTGCAAAACACCACATGGCCGCCGAATGAAAGGAACTGCAGTTGCTGTTGGTTTCTGAAGTTCGTTGGTTGTTTCATCGGCTTTTGCCGTCAAGGAAGGGACTGGATCGACAAGAAGAATCAAAGCCGAGAAATTGAAACGACCCTTACTGCCCGCCGTCGTTGTTGGAAGCAGACTAAATAATCGTTTTTTTACCATTCGCTGCACAAATTATATTCGGTGAGCCTCGTCCTCGAGCCGGTCACGTTCACCTGGCAAGTGGAATATAATCCAGTGAATGTGCAGCTTCGTCCTTGAAAATACTTCATCAAATAGCAAGGTATTTGTGGTTCTAGTTTGTTAATGTCGCTAGTGAAATAACGACAGGAAATTTTTACACTTTAAGCAGTCATTCCCTTCCGTTACAAATCGTGCTGTGTCGTGTCAGCCATATTGCATTGGCGCCAAATTCTAGTACACTGGAAGATACTGCAAGCCTAAATCGTATTTCTGTCATCATGATTACTGCTAATGGTTATTTCTCAACATTTCGGTAAACAGATTCTTTGGCTGTCTTTTGTCCCGGTTGTAAAAAGAAATACACACGAAAATTTGTCACGCGGGGAAAGGCCGCTGTTTCAACATTTTGCCGGCAAATTTATGGGGGATCATTCCCTTTGTTTTGATTCAAAATTCTAAATGGGTTCTGTCGGATCTGAGGATGCTTATGTCAAGTTCTAACTTGCACTATCTTTGCACGATCCAGGTATGGCATCTGAAACTGTATCAAAGGGTTCTAAACGCTTGAAGTTATCGCCAAACGACGATGATGTGAGAAATTGTACAACGAACGAGCAGGATCAATCAATTGACTCGACTTTGGATGAGAAAGCAATCAAGTCTGTCGACAAGGATGAGGCGATGTAAGTGAGACTTCATGTTGTGGAATCGAAGGGGTATATCGGGATGTTTTTTTTTAATTATCTTTTCTCAGTAAAACCAGTGAAATGATTTAAGAGAAAACGAAGCCCATGAACTGTCATATTCTGTTGTTTGACACGTGTTGTGGAATAAGTGTTTTATCGAACACTTTGTTATTTTTTTTCTTTGATTTTTAGCATCCTTGTTTCTGTAGCCATATGAACAGCTTTAATTTGAGTTCAACTTTGTACTGTCGAAATCACACCTGCACCACAAGCCAACTCGCTGTTTTAATTTTTACTTTGCTTTGATCGCGACTTGACAAAGCATTGAAGCTTTTTGTCGCCAATATTGATGACCGAGGCTCCCCGTTGATACATAGCCAGTTCATGTTATCGACAGTAAACTACCCTCAGAAATCGAAAAAGAAATCTTTTAAAGTTTGGGATAAAGCCCTGTAACTTGAAAAGCAGATAAGAAATAATTTTGAAGTCGCTTGCTTTTAAATTTCTCTGTTCTGAAGTCTTTTGTTGTCACTAAAAGCTTGTCTGAATTTTTAAATCATTTATCATAATCTAAAGAGATCACTTCTTTGCCGTTATAAAAATGGAGTGTTAAATCATAAAAGCAGAATTCTCAAATGTCTATTGGTAGTATTTTATCCCAAGTCAATTAACTTTACATCACAACTCGGCGAACATTACACCAGGACATAACGCTCTGTAGCTTGATTATGTTGTTCTTCAGTTGAGCTTTTGTAGTATTTTAAAGTAATTTTCATTTTCCTTGACTACACACTCCATGCCAACACCAAAAGACAAGCAATCAGCCAACATATTGGCTACTTAGATCCAAAAACACTATTTCATAAATATTTTTCTTTCTATAATTTTGAACATTCGCCCAATGAAAGTGAAAATGTCACTTGCCAGAGCAATCAAAGTTTGGTTCATTATTGATCATGAACTCCTTGAAAGTGATGTGTTTGGGTTCAAAAGTTAAGGGGACATAATACTGCTTTCTTGAACTGGGTTATCAAACTTTCATTTCCACATGAGATATCCAATTTTTATCCACACAACTCCCTATGGAGGGCAACCTCCAGCAAGAACTTTTCTAAGGAAAAGTTTTGAACCCCTTGGATGCAAACTTCAAAGGTGCCAAGAACAAAGCACTATGGGTGGTGCTGTAGAAAAATGAAATGTCAGCATCAGCTGAAACCTTCCACATATTAATACAGTGGAACCTCCAGTTGCGACCTCCTCGCGGAAGTGACCACCTCTCGATGACCAGTTTTCCAAAATACCAAAGTTTTCAAGTCATATCACTACATTGGGAACCTCTTGTAAGCGACCACCTCTCGTAAGCAACGGCAACCACTTTCAAAGCTTAAAGATTGAAATTTTCTTTTGTTTTTACCCTTCCGTAAGCGACCACTTGGTAGATAATAGAGTGGAAATTGGATAATAAGCTGTTGAAACATGGCATTCCTGGGTAGTACAAGAGACGGCAATTTCTCAATGGGAAGTATCAGTTTTTTTTCGAAATTGACTTTTTACGTGAATGAAACATTTAAAACATGGGTTAAGTCTCTGCAGTTACCTTATGCTAATGAGGCAAAATATTGACCCATTATGGTCTAAGCTCTCGTAAGCCACCACCTCCAGCAAGCGACCACTAAGGCTTGACATTTTGGGTGGTCGCTTACAGGAGGTTCAACTGTATCAAGAAAATTTAGCTTTGGAATGATAAGCTTGGGGAATTTAATAGAAGTGCCTTAATTATCTAGCTTATTACATGAGGGCAATTTTCTTTCTGACAAATGTTGATAATGTGCTTGTGGTATTGTTAGTTCTCTTTCCAAGTCTTCTCAGCTTGCTTACAAACTGGTGTGTCAAGGAGACTAACCAAGTAAATGCTGGTCAAGTCACAAAACGTGTTTGTGTACTAGTATTTTCTCAGTAAACAAATGAGCCTAATGTATTTTGAGAAAATACAAGTGACTCATGGGATATTCCATGGTATACCACAAGAGAGCATTGCACAATTATTTTAGACCATGCCTTAGAATATTCACTGGCCAACACAATCAATGTGATATATGCGCAGTGGGCAATGGGAAGGTCGGATGTAATACCGTTGAATTTGCAACTGTTTTCCTGTATCCTGATGGGCTGTGTTTTCTATGGCATGGTATAAAATCCTGTAAAATGGTAACAGAAAAATTGTAACTGTGTTTAGAATGGAAATCTGCATCTAGTTTTCTAAAGAGTTTCTAAAACAGTGATTTAGTCTGAAACAAATAGAGAAAATAAAGCATGCAGTTTATTGCTAAGCTACACCAATTACTCAGTGGGTGTTTAGTCAAAACATTCATACTCAGGTGTAAGGTCTTGCCACTATGGCTACTTGATTTCATATCACATTTGTATGAAGAGATACTGTTTTCGTACCAACTCCTACTTGGCCCAGATTATGTCATCTTTGCTTGGCAGGCAAAAGCTACGCACAAGCCAACAGCTTGTGCTAGTTCTTGGTTTCTTTTTATTTATTTATTTATTTTTTTCAATGTATGATTTGTTACTTGGTATTCCCTTACACTCATCTCTGCTTGGAAAGACTATTGTGAGGAATTTTTTCTCAGTAGAGAGCCAAAACCATGTGTTCACTGACCAATCAATGCGAAATGCTCTTAAAATTAGCCACCCAGCATTTGAAAATAATGAAAAATGTCCAGCAGAGTGATGTGCTGACCTTCCAGAAACATTGTTATCACTGTGAACAATTTCTTTTCATTTCGGTTGGTGGTGATCTTGACGGGTAAAAACTATTCTGCCTGACACTAGACTAAGGTAAACTGTTTTTACTTTCTCTCTTGTTTCACTTATTGAGGCCTATTATTCCATTCTTCCCCGGCAGGCTGACAAAGAAAGACAGTGAGTTAGTTGTTATATCATCTTCCTCCTCTGATGAGGATTCTGACAAGGAAGTGAAGAAAGATGCAAGTGAACCAGTTGTGAAGAAAGAAAAAGACAAGGTGGACACCTCCTCCACTGATGTTGTGAACAAGGAATTACAATCAAATCCAATTGAATCAAGTGAACATCAGCCTAAAGCAGATATGACTATGACTAATGTAGAACAGAAAACAGGTAGCAAAGATTCAGACTCGGATGAGTGCATCTCACAAGAGGATCTTCTAGCGCAGTTGGGTTTGAGCTCTGTTAAAGAACTAAACAGAAAAGAAGCAACAAGCAGTAGTGACAACACTGCACCATCTGCTAATGCAAATGGTGTTGAGAAAAAGCCTTTGATTTCCCATAGGGCAAGAGAAAGTATTGTTGAATTCTTGAAAGTACCAAAACTGTCCTCTTTGGAAAGTAAGAAAAAAGTGAACGGTGAGACAAAGGCGGATGCTACTATTATTAATGGTGATACCAGTGATGGCTCAAGGCCAGATTCACCACTTTCTGATGAAAATGATGATGACCTACTGGCAAAAGAAAAATTGATTGCCCACCTGAGGAATGAACTAAGGCAAGAGGAAGCTAAACTTCTCTTGTTAAAGAAGTTACATGCTGCACAAAATGATGTCAAGGGTAACTCCAGACAACAGAAAGAAAATGTTGTTGAGAAATCACAACCACAGGCAGCTGTTCCACAGGGAAACCAGCCAGTTAAATCCTCCATGCAATTGCTGCCTAAAAAAGGGCAGAACCTTCCTCCTCCACCACCACTGAAGGCATCAACAGTGTTAGCATCCTCCACATTTCATCCACCAAGAGACGTACCAGTACAACCTAGACTGCTGCCAAAAGGGAGTAGTACTGCCCAATCACAGCCTTCAAATACTGCTTCATCAAAGTTTGTAGGTTCTGCTGCACAGACTTTGAAGGAGTTTGCTGTGCAACAGCAGTCCATGCATCAACAGTCAGCCCAGCCAAACTCAAAACCTGGGTCTTCTGCAATTGCTGACCTGCAGAATGTGGTTACATGCATGGCAAACTTAATTCAGCCAACTCCGTTGTATCCTCACAGTGGAGGCCGAGGCAGTCCAGTGTATTCAGCAGCTAATCAGCCTGCCCCTGTTCGCCCCACTCCTGTGAGAGCAAACAATGTCAGTAGCCTCCCAGCCAGTAGTGGATATGTGTCTTTTCAACATCACCTGCCCAGTGGCTCTCATCACCATGGTGCTGGTGGCAAACAAGCTGCAGCCAAGATGGCATTGCGTAAGCAGTTGGAAAGAACCTTGCTTCAGATCCCGCCACCTAAGCCACCTCCCCCTGAATGGTCCTTCATTCCAAGCCTTGGCAGTCCAGATTTTATGGTTTTGGTTGGATTAGAGTCTGTTGTGGATGTCATGGCTTCCAAAGATACCAAGGTTAAACAAAATGCTCCACTGCAAGAGCAAACAATAAATCCCAAAGTTTGTTCACGCTGTAACACTGATTTCTCACCTTCGTGGACAAAGAAGCAAGACAATGATGGCTCAGGCTTAGTAACTGTGTGTGAGAAGTGTAGTACTGTCAATGTGAAGAAAGAGCTAAAAGCAGAGCACACAGCTCGCTTGAAGGCAGCATTCCTAAAAGCTCTCAAGCAAGAACAAGAGATAGAACAAAAGATAAATGACAGCCCTTCAATTGCTCCTAAGCCTCATCATCAAAGCCAAAAGTCATCTCCCCAGCCTCAGCTGGCACCTGCACCACCACGCCATCACATTGCACACCACCAACCCATCATGCATCACCATCACCAGCCTGTTCAACCTGGGCTCTATCACCATCACCAGCCGCACACCAACTCCCTCCTGTTTCAACTGCAGCAGCAACACCTCCAGCAGCAACACCAGGAGTTGGAAGCAGCGGCAAGACAACAAGCTGATGTAAGATGGCATCCCTACTTAAGTCAGCACCATCACTCTGGGTCACGTAACCCACAGCACCATCACAATTATGTATCGGACTCTGATAGACAATATTTGTTGGACATGATTCCTTCTTTGCCAACACCAACTCTTGGTTATGGCTCTAGTAGAATGTAGCTGGTGTACAGAAAAGAGTATCTTGAAGTGAGGACATCTTGGGCCTTGTTACGTATAAGTTAAAGTAATGTTCTATTAATTTTTGTATAGTATATGATAGTACGCACCAGGAATGTAACTGATTCATGTATCTCCTATTGCCTTGATCTTTAAACCGGTAACACGCTTGTTACTTTGTGGGTGAATTTGTATCAACAACAGGCAAGTAGATGGTTCACCCATAGCATCAATGGCCCTTTATAACAGCCCTGCCATGTCATATTCCATTAAATTTTTTAAAGGGTATCTCTTAACTAGTGTGTGTAACATACATGTTCTGTGTATATTTATTACAAGACTGTGATGTGTTCTCCCGTCTTCACAGTGATTAGTGAACAAATCATGTTGACTCACACTACAGAAGATACATCTGTGTGATTGTTTAAAACACTAGATTATTACTATTAGTCAAATATTTTTTACTTCCAGTTCCCCCACACTTTTTGAGAGGAATCCTTTAAAAATTTCTTGTAACCATTTTGCTCCTCTAGTGAAACCTCTACTGTAGTTATGTGATTCCAACATTTAATTCTGTTGAAAACTACTGGTTTGGTTCTTTCATGTGGTCCAAGAGCATTTTCTTTCTGTGGTATGTAGAAGGTACTGTGATGTAACAAGGCTCAAGTGTCAAACAGACTAAACATTTTTTTCAATGTAGCACTGTAGGACATTAATCTCTCTATATTAGACCTCTTCAGCTTGGGTGGTTTGTTTTCCCATTGCAGACCATGTGATGATACTCTTGAGAATTCTCGCTTTCAAATTTTTAAATAGTCGCATGTATATGTATGAATAATTTTAAGATGGATAAAAGAAAAATTCTCTAGAGTATCTCATGTGGTCTACAGTGGGAAAATAAACCGCCCAAGCTAAAGAGGTCTATTGTATGACTATCTGTGCTTCTTCCATGCTTCCATCTTACATAACCTGCGTAGTAAACGTTCCCTTTCCATTTCTAGGTGGGGAGATCGAGCAAGTGAGCAAACGAGCATGCCTAGGGTGAACAAAAAATGGGGAGAAGTGGGGAGGGGGTGAGCAAAAGGAGGGGAAGGGGTGGGGAGGAAAGGAATCACCCCCAACCCCAACCCCTTATTTCTTTGCACTTAACTCGCAGTTTTGTTGCCTTCACATGCTTCTGGAAATGAATGCCTGCTACACAGGCCACATCTTGCATAGAAGGCCATTCTTGTCTAAGATGACCAAATCTTTCATGTTCTCTCACAGTGGTTTGTTAAGTATGATATCATAGCATGGTTATCATAGTCATTCATATAATGATCATAAGCAGCATTTCTACTCTGAAAGAAAAATGTCAAACTTGAATAATTTCAAGTTAAGTCCTAAATGATGAGTCCATAATAATTATTATCTGACATGGGTGCTACAAAGCACAGTAACCTTATATTCAAATCTCTTGCAAACTGATAGTTTCTTTGTCCTTGTTTGTCTACATTTCAACTAGATTGAAAACACTTCAAATAGTTCTGTACAAAATCTCTTAACACTTTTATGGCAAGAGGTGTCATTGTATTGCTTTGAATCTTTTGCTAAGTATTCTATTCCTTCTGAGCGAAAATGGAAACTTTTCAATGCATTATTTATTATAACAAAAACAATTGTTTCAGAGATACTATTCTGTAGCATATATTGAAGAATTAAAAATGGAGTTCTACTAATGCACTGGTGTACGTAATGTAGTTAGCTTGCTTTGTGAGCAGGGGAGAAGTCAAGTATTATACCTCCTTTAGAATGTGCAAATATTTTACTCGGCAAGTCGCAAAAGAGCAGGGATTCTGCTTCAGTGTGTAAAACAGTTGCACTGGAACAAGGCTGGGTGGACATTTCATACGTTTTGTTCACCCTGATCTTCTTTCGCCACCTTTGTTTGGTGAAATGCAGGGAAGGTATATTCGTCATTGTTGAGATGAGTGAGTATAGTTTTCGTTTTGTGGACAGACCATTGCTCAGTAGATATATTACTGAACTAGCTTGTTCGCTCCGTATTGCGAAATGTCGGTCGAGTGCTACTCTTAAGCAAAGATCTGGGAACGAGATTAGGACCACCCGAGGCTCGGTTGCAAAACATAGAGCGAGACCGAACAAGCTTCAATACCAATGGTCTGGTCTAAACAAGTCAGACCCTTCTCTGCTTACGTGGTTTTTCGTTGTGCTTAAATAGTGACCGTTCGAAGAAAGCGTGAACTTTAAAAAAGGAAAACTTTCAAGTCATTTGCAAAGTCGAAAACATTCCTCCAAACGATGGCAATATTTCATCGCAACATTGTTGGGTTCAACATGTAGCGCGCGTTTGGCCACCCTGTTGCGACATGTTGGGTGTTGTTGGCTCAAATTTGACCGTTTTCAAACTTGAGCCAACAGCACCCAACATGTCGCAACAGGGTGGCCAAACGCGCGCAACATGTTGCACCCAACGATGTTGCGTTGAAATGTTATGATCGTTTGGCCGGGGCTTTAGTAGCAAACTGGAACGTGCAATTCTTGTGCTTAAAAGCGAACTAGTGTGTCAGTAACTGATGACAAGGCACCACTGGCAGATAACAAAGATATCTTTGGCTGTAAAATCGATGTGATTGTGTTCAAACCCCTTGCTCTCAGTATTCATTTATTCATTCGATCACGCCTCCTTCCCGCCTACTTCCCCTCCTTCCTTTTTTCCTCATTCCTTCCTTCATTTATTTATCTATGTAGTAGTAGTAACTACGTTATTTACCTTAGTTTTGTTCGTGCCCTTTGATGAAGTGAATCATCACAGTCTGATTTACTGCTTTTAGATTTTCATTCATCTTTCCTTGACACATTGCGGGGACGTAAAGTGGGGACAAGCCCCTTCATTGGACGCTTGCTGCAGGGACAGTATGCAAGCTGGTGTACACAAAGCGGATATTGGTTCATTTCTATGTCGTGGCGGGGACAGTTGCAAGAAAAGTGTTCACGATGACATTGTGAAAATTGAGCCATCTTGTCCCTTCTAATGACACACGAATTTAAACCGGCTGAATTTCATGTAACACGTTTCGGGGACTAAATTGTGTCCTCGCAACAACCCGATAATTTTCTTCGAAAAAACGGACATGTCACACCAGGAAAACTGTCCCCTAGTGTGTGCCGACCTAGAAGAAAGGAAAAGCCGGCTTCCATTTTCTTAATTTGAACTTCAATATTACACGGGAAATGCGCAGTAAAGATGCACGCGTCGTAATGGTTTCTTAAGTCCCCTAATAAGGTGTACGCGCGACCGTTCGAAAGTAGCGCGCGCTTTCTCAAAAGAGAGCAAAAATCAATTGTTACTCAGCTATAATGAGTAGAAACGTTGCGCTTAGTTACAAGCTAGGGAGACCAGTTCTTGTAATCAATAAAAAGCATATGATAAGAGTAAAATCAAACAAAATGAATCGTTCTGCTATTGGAAACTACTGCTGACAGATTACAAAGACAATTCTGCGAACTCGAGAAACGAGTCGACAACTACTTTGTTGATTTGGAGAAAGCTAAAGAAATGTGCGACCTAACACAGGCGGATGTTTAAAGATTCCAGTTGAAAGCCAAAAAGGACAAGGAGATAGCGAAGAAAGTTGAAGAAATACAAGCTAAGCTGTACTCGGCTGTTAAAGAGAAAATGAAGGAGAAAGATACGACACCGCATGCGCGTGAAGACAAAATGCCTGACGCGGCGACGAGAAATGCTCTCCGGCATACAAGAAGTGCTCAAATGTGCCGATATGACAAGATTGTTTGCGCCTCAGTGTTTGACAGTGTAGCAGCGTATGTGCTGTTTAAAGTTACAAAACCATTCTTTTTTCTGAATTTCCCAACGCCTTAAAGGGGGCTTCCATGATGGAAGATGCGAAACGTTGAACTGTTCACTGCTGAACTATATTAACTGAGGCATAAAGGAAGATTTTAAGTAAAAAGCCATATTTGCTAATGTTCAAGCGAGTTAGTTACAAATTATATTTTGTACATTAAATTCTACAATTTTGACTTATTCGCCGCAAAATATACAGTGCTTCTTGTGGCCTTGTTTTAGAATATGTTATGTGTAAAAACTTCTAAAGCGGAATCGAGAAAAATGTTATTACTGTCGGGCATCGTATTGATGCAATGAGATATAAGCAAAATTAAAGTACTCTGAAAATGTTTAAGTGCCTTGAACTGAGCACTTATGTCTACAGGGAGTGACTAATATTCATACAATTCATACGGACAAATGACTTCTATCAGTTGTCGGATTCCGCCTCACTATCAGCTGTGTTATGTAAAGTGTGCATATGAGCCAGTGGCACATCAGGCCGGAGCTTATCCTGGTCAGTTCTGTAGCATAATGGGACCAGGAGTATTTCTATTCCCCCCTGGATGGGATGATAGTCTATCATAGGGTTACCCCCCAGCATTAAGTTCGCCGGTGCCCATTTATACACCCGGGTTGAGGAAGGCACTGTTCATACATAGTGAGTAAAGTGAGTAAAGTGTCTTATCTTGCCCAAGAGCACAACACAATGTCCTCAGCCAGGACTCGAACCGATGGCCAACGAATGATAGTCTTTCACTGCTTTTTTCTATTTTTCACTCTGCTTGTTATCTTCCAACTTATTCCCGTCACGTCTTGTGCTTCTCGGTGACTTAAACTGCTTTTTCCTCTTTGTTTACCTCCGCGAACTCCTCGTTTGTTTTATCTTCTGTAGCTGCAGCTGTCTCGATCACTGAGGTCTTGTCATCTTTGTGGGCTTTTGTCTCTTCCTCCTTGATGTCTTCTACTTTTAAGAAGGGGAGGTGTAGCACTTGACGTAAGTCTGCAATCGTAGCATTGCCGTGAAGTATATCTTTTAAGCGTGTATCATCTTTCAAAATATTGGTAATTTCATCTACATCATCGGCCGGATCGAAACTCTCCTTGAATAATTTGCATGGCAACTTAATAGTTTGAACGTAGATTGACTCATCGAGAACGGGAAGCCACTGAAAATCTTTCAGCTTGTCCAATAAACGCGTATCACTCATTGTTTTGAAATCCATACATAAGCCCGGATAACTGAGTTCAGGATACGTTTGATGAATCGGAACCAGAATTATGCCAACCTTTGCTTTCACATTGTTATGCTTCAAGTGCGCCTGCAAGAGTTCACGGTACACTAAACACTGATACAAAGGTTTTTTAAAGTATTCAGCCTTTTCCCACCATTGATATAAATCTAGTAAGTCTGTTTTAGTAGTTGTCTTCCAGTCAACAACAAAAACCTCAAGGACATCTTTTTCACCTCCTCGAAAAGCAACAGCATCCATTTTTCCGCTGCAGAAATCCACCTGTCTTTCTCTCGTGACGGCGTAGCCAGAAATACTTACTTCCGCTTGAATGAATTCGCAACGAAATTTCCTTTCTATCTTTTCCAACAGCTCGCCTTCTGTACCGTCTCTTCTGCCTTTGTTGATTTGGTCGGCTAACCTTCGGTGATTTTCTTGTCCCTTCTGTCTTGGCGATGATTGTGTAGTCTGTCCGCCTTTATCCTACTTGTTCTCGAGCGGTTTATTAGCGGCTTTCCTACTTGTCGCCTCTTTCAGATCTATCAATATCCGATCATCAAATGAATCCTTCACCGCTTCTACCTTAGCTTTTGCTTTTTGCCGAAACTACATGGAGAATTAAAAAACGAGATCGAAATAAGAGAAGACAAGTAAATGCAATTATTGACGGCACAACCACGTCACGAACTAAACTTACGTCTGATCCTAAAGTTTCCGCTGCCGGAGAAGGATGTTTTGGATTTCCAACCAACGTTTTCTTTAGGACGTCGGAGACTTTTTTTCTGTCGCTTTCCCTTGCACAGGCCATGTTTGTCTTCACTTGCAAGATTAATAATTTATCAGCTAGTCTTGTTTATGGGGTATTTGTATCGTATAACAAAAATTCATCGCGCAGAATTCTATTGTCTTTCGCGACATATACTTGCAGTGCTCAGTTTTTCAATGCGCGGAATAATAATTACAAATATTAGCTGTCGGAATTCCGACTGCTCTCGTCAATGAATCGGCGGCTGTCAATCAAACGGTCTGATGTGTGAAGTAAATCCCAAGGTGTAATAAGCGTTGCCAAATGGAAAGAACGGCGCGCATAAAACTTTCTTCTACTTTATCGTTGTCCTCTTTTACTCGACCGGTCAAAGCAGTTCATCAGACGTAGTCTTTTACTCGATCGGTTCACGTAGT